AAACTAAACCAAGTCAAATATTTTTTGCTCTAAAAAGAAAATCTTGAAGTGAACCACAGCCAGATGGAGGAGGAGCATTCTGCTGCTGGCCTTGTGTCTACTTAAATGTACACAGGACTCATCTAGTTATTAGGTATTTCTGCAAACCTGTGAGCATGTTCTTAGTCACACACCTTTCTTACTGAAAAGGAAATGTTTAGAGATTCTGTGGGGGGAAACACTTAAATGAACACTTATATTTTCCTCCTAGCTTTAAGATCTACTGATGAAAAGCACTCTAACAGCTAGGTAGTGTTTCCTGTATGTCTATTGTAAGTTCTTTAGGCAGAGACAGTTTTAATGTGTGTGTATCTGCCTAGGGATAGGACTACAAAATCTTTTGATGCCTTGTGGTATTGCTGTACTGACAGAAGTTGATTAATATACTATACATTCTATACAAATATAACATACATATACATGCACACACATACTGCTGTCAATATCTGTCTAGTTATCTAAAAGATATAGGTATTTTTTGTCATGTCTATAATCCAACCTTTCTATATGGTCTGTTCCCAATATTCTGCACAGGCCACTGCTTCTAGTATTGGTGCTGCCAGATTGTGGTGCTACAGGACGTTTCAGCAAATGATCCATGGCTTGCTTCTCCTGACAAACACACTGGTCAGTTGCATAGAGGCCCCATGATTTCATGAGAAAGTTGTGTGGATATATATGTATAATAGAAAATCCATTGGCTATTTTGTTCAGTGCTACTCTTCTTTGACTTGCATTGCTCATATAGATACATTGGCATATTGTACCACACAGTATTTACACTTCAACTTTAGCAAAGCCCTGGGAAGTATTTATTAGTTGACCAGCAGAGGGAGCATACACCATGGAGCTTTTCCTGACTAGGCACAATGGTGTCTTTCTGGAAGTAAGCAATATGGTATCTATTATATGTGGCTCACTAAACTTTTCAGATCAGGGGCATATCACAGCACACGGCCGGGGCCAAAACTTGTGTGATGGTGTGGCTTATATATCCTTATATTTATCATTTTCTCTGTCTAGAATGTAACTATTTTTAATTGCAGCTTTTTTCTCTTTTCCTTTCCATATCTCTTCATTGCTTGTCAGGTCCTGAACATCTAGTGTGAAATCCTGATATTTTGAAGTTAATGGCAAAACACCCATTTACTCAAGCAGAGGCAGGCTTTCACCCTTGGCTTAAATGCAAAGCTGTACCAATATGATTAAACCATTTTAAAATAACAATTTTACTTTGCAACTTTGTAAGTAGATCAGCGTGCCTTTGTTATAGGGGCAGTCTAAAGAGAGATAATTTGGTGAGTGTCTGCACTAGGATCTGCACTGGTTTAATTAAATCAGTTCAAGTTTAAGTGTAGAAAAATCCCTTGGGGTGGCTTTTAAAGAACACCATTATGTAAATAGGGAATGCTGAGACAGACAGTTCTTTTTGTCTGGTAAATATAAATAGAAAGCACAGCCCCTAACTGTACCTAAGAACTGAGACGCAGTAAATCATCTAGCAAGAGTAACTGCTAACATATGTGAAATACTGGTCAAAAGACATTGTTTTCATTATAGTTTTGTTCTCAGGAACCACTTTGTCTCTGAAAGGGCAGATTCCAGCTTCAGTTCTTAGTTGGAAAAGCCATTTCTTTACTAATAATGTTTGGCAGGGGCACAATAAATCTGCAGTAGTTTTTGCAGAAAAAAGTAAAGGATACTGTGGGTGAGACAGTATCTGGTATCCTCAGGAAGGCTACTTTCATCATGCTTTGTACTTCTGGAAAACAGCCCAACCTGTTTTCACCAGATAGGTTCATGAATACAGCCTAAGCCACTGAAGACGCTTAAAACAAGGGTACTTTTCATTTTTTTAAAAATAAATATAATTTGCAGTCGCTCTTCTGCAGAAACTAAGATTCCACTTTATCTCACTGCCCATTATAATCAGTATCTTTTTGGGATTTAAAATTAATTAATTTCCATTACTCAAGGAGTAGACATTGTCTCCCCCCCCAGCACCCTTAAAACACTAAACAATAGCTTCTATCATAACTTCTATTTGTATTTATTATCCACAATGAATGATCTACACTATAAGCTACCTGAAACTATTTCTGAAAAATATGCTTATAGAATTAAGTTTTACATAATCTTATTTTGGGTTCATGTGAGTAAGCAAACCTCAGACTTCCTTTCCTTCCTCAGAATGTAAGGTGAAACGTACATTTTTCTTTGCACTTCGTAACAGCTGTGCTCTGTTCCTTCCCTAGTTAAATCATTGTGGTATAAAGTATATCCAGATAATATTGGACAGGGAAATCTTTACTCAAGAAGCCTTTCTTAAATATTGCTAGATTCCATTTAGCTTCTCCTTAGAAGCTTTTTCCACAGCTAAATTCCCCTGACAAAGAGAATATTTTATATGGATTTTGCATGCTTGATTCTGGGAGTCTGTACATTTTGACACTTCAAGAAGAGGAAGTTATGAGACACTGTGTGTGTCTACCTGTGTGCTTTAATGTGCAGTAGCCTATTGTATTGCTCATTAACGCATCATGCCAAAAACAGTGCTAATATGCAGTAGAATTAGTCTACTGTGTATTAAATGTCACTTAAAGGCATTCATTTTTGCTACTGCGCGTTAGGGCAACTTCATGCGCCTTTATGTAGTACCTCATATTAGAGGCACAAAACTTAATGCTTAGTAGCAAAAGCGTATTAATGAAAGTGTAGATGCACCCAAAGAAACCTAGGAATGGGATGTTTGCATTGGCCTGAAGAGGTAGAATCTGGTGTTGTAGAGGCTAGAGCTTTCATTGTTTCTAATTTCTGGTCCAGGTACAGTGAACTATAGTTTGCTCTCAGACTGTTGTCAGAAAGATGGGGTAAATTTTCCTAGGAAGCTGAAGGCAGAAAATGTTTTTGTCACTGGTTCTAATGGTTGTCTAAGCTTAATGATGAGCATCACACAATTTAGAGTCTCCATACTAATTTGAAAAGTAGATATAGAAAACTGGGAGAAGGTAAGGGGGAGGACAGGGACAAGATTGGCCAACATACCAGATAATTTTTCTGAAGCCTCTCCTCCCTCTCCTTCTCTCTTTCCCTCCTCTCTTTCTGGGCATCAGTTCATTCTTGCAAGGATTAGTCTGAGCTAGCTTCTTTTTGTTCAGCTTTTGGTTTCGTGAAAGTATTGTGATCTTGAGTTGCTGGATGGAAAAAGAAAGTTTGTAATAGAGCTTGGGCAACTGGTGCCACCTCAGTCAGGGGGGGCATGTGCCCCCCCCACACAGTGACCAGTTAGCGACTGGGGGAAGGATCCCCCCATGGCCAATCTCACTGACGGAGGGGGGCAGTCCCCCCTGCGGCCAGTTGCGCTGAGCAGGAAGCAGCCACGGTGCTCCTGGAAGTGGCTGTGGCGCTTTCCACTCCCAGGCTGGTGCTCACAGGGGGGAGCACCAGTGCTCCTGCCTGCCCCCACTACCTGTCACCTAAGCAGGGAGCATGGTCTGTCTGGGGGTGCACCAGTGCTCTCAGGGGATGCATGTGCACCCCCTATGCGTCACCACTGTAATAGAGAGACATCTCACTACAGTAAAATCCCTGTCATCCGGCATGAGTGGGGAATGGGGGGCGCTGGGTATCTAAAAATCCCAGTTACCTGAGGCTGGTGGTTTCTGGCTGGACATGGAGTAGGGGAGAGGTGAGGGTGGCAGCAGCCACACGCGAAGCAACTGCAGCACAAGGTGGTGGGTGGCAGTAGCAGTGGCCATGTGTGACCCCCTCCTCCCCCCCGCTGGCCAGAAATTCTGGTTAATAGAGTCTTCCAGTTACTCAAATGCTGGATAACAGGCATTTTACTGTATATTGTTTTCTGTCTGCCTGAATTTAACTATGAATAAGCCTGTTGGCAAAGCCTTCCTGCCACGGTAAAAGTTGCCCATGTAACCTCCAAAATGACATGCACTCACAGTAGATTGTGCACACACTGAGCTTGAGAGAGCCCCAAACCTTGGCTCTTCCCTCAGTGGGGCTTGATTTAATACCATGGGTTTTCTTTACCTTGTTCCAGAGGAAGAGTAAGTCTCCTAAATGTCACCTGTTTGTACCACCAAATGAGACATCTTTCATAGTAAACTGATAATCCATGATAGTGTGGATGCAGTCATTTTGGTATAAAATGCTTTAGCCAGCATAGTTTATATGGGTTAAAGTTTAGTTATACTCTTATAATGGGACTTTCACTAGGTTCATTACCTACAGAGTGAGTTTGTTTGTTTTTAAAACCATTCTGCCTATGTGATGCAGCTATGTCTGTACAACTTTTAAGGATAGACTGGATTTACCTGAGCACGGTATTTAAATAAATGTCAACACTGTCATTACTGGCCTTCTGAGTTAACATCTCCCTGATTATAGAGGGAGCAGGGCTCATCATTTAGTGCTGCTCTGTGCATCTGCTACTCTAATCAAATTGTCGAGGTTTTCTTTGCAGCTATAACAGCTAGGACCATATTTACAAAAACTGTAGTCTCACAAGGACACCATGCAAGTTTAAGAGAGGTTCTGGTGCACTTTATCACTGTGTACCTGCCTAATCCAACCTCAGGAAAAACCTGACTGGTGGTTGATATTAAATCATTAACCAGGAATGAAGTTAGGGTTGGATTTCTACGGCATGGGGATGCTCAATTTCTATGATAATTAAAGGGAAATGCTTATTCCCTCCAATCTTGGTGACTCTAACAATGTCATTTTTAATATTTTAAAGTGCTTTGATAATGAATTTACTTAAAGGTTTTGTTCCTCATTAATTGGTTAGCTGCATAATTTTCAGTGGTAGAAAATAAAAGATGGAAAGCTACAGTAATTACATTAAAGCAAAATATTGCTTATCTGATGCAGAAATCCTCAAGGTGTAATACACAGTAAATCAATGTAATTTCAAATTATGCTTACCATTTCATTCTCTCTAGTCTTATGCAGGGAAATATGTGCCTGCTATTCAGTACTATATTCATACCCACAATCCCACAGCCAAGGTTAAGATCAGCTTCAAGGGAGTTGCTATTGGAGATGGTTTCTGTGACCCTGAAATGGTAGGTTCTTTACATATTTTTTCTGTTGTCTTCGTACTTAATTAAGTGGAGTGCTTTTCTCAGATTACAGTCCTATCTTGATAAAAGGTGGTATTTTCCTTCAATGACTTCCTAATGGCTTTAAAACTTTAATCTTTGCCAAATGTTTCCAAACTTCAAGTTACCAGATCATTTATTTTTAAAATGAAAAAGGGTTTTGCTCAGTTGAGTTCAGTGACAGATTTAAAATTTAAAAAAAGGTTATCTCCAAAAAGTAAAATATACTTTCCCCACATGTCAGCTTCATTTTTGTGTGCCTGTTTGGCAGATGTTGGGTGGCTATGCGCAATTCCCGTACCAAATTGGCTTGGTGGATGAGAAGCAGAGAGACTATGTCCAGCAGCAAACCGATCTGGGAGTAATCTATATCCAGCAGAAGAAATGGACTGAAGCCTTTGAAGTACGTATCAGAGGCCCGCACACTGGCCTTTAGCAATTAAAACCATCTGTACTGAGTAAGGGGTCAGAAAGAAGCATAATGAAGGTCAGAAGTTTGCTGGAGAAGGTGCCCATTATAATGTGGCAGAGGGGGAGGAGGAGAAAGGAACCAAAGAAAAGAAAAGAACTGTCCATAGAATTTGTTTTGGCCTCATTTCAAACAGAGTGCCTTTAGAATATGTTTATACAGTCCTGTCTTTCATGAACTGTTTTAGTTTCTTTAACTAAATGCTTGTATGCCCTGAAGGTTTAACTTATCCCATGGAAATCAGAAGAAATGCAGTCTAGAGAGCTGATGCATATACTCGAAAACACACTTTAAAAACCTTTATATAAAAGTAAAGAGTGGCTGCATTTCAAACACACTCAGTTGATTAGTATCTGCAATAAAATATTACTCTTTCTGATAGATATCCATGTTGCAGCATCCAGCAAGGCTATGCAACACACAATTTCTGTGTGGAAAGTAATACATTTCCAGTAATTTATAATCTATTGTACATTTATAATTTCAACATTGCATCTTTGCTATATAGCTTTTCTTTGCTACAACTTAACTATCATCATGGGAGAATATACATCATAGTTAATGTGGGGCTATTAGTTTTCCTGCTTCATTGGGCTAGAGTTTTAACATGCAGATAGCATTTTCTATAAAATGTTTGCCAAGTAGGATTAAAAATGGAGGATAATTTCAATATTAAGGGAAAGCTGAGCTTTACAGAAGACTCCCTAGGGGATTGGGAAAGGGGTTGGTTGATAGAGCATTACTCTCTTTGGGACTGGCATTTGTTAATCTGGTACCACTGGGAGTCTGAAATTAATTCATTGTTGTGATAAAATGAATGTGACCCTGTGACTAGGGCTGTTACTATATGAGTACAAAGTACAGATTTGCCAATATAGCTGTCCACACTAGAAGCACTTTGCCTGCATAATGTACTTTGTATTCCAATACCAGTAAAGAACTCCTAGCACAGTCAGAATCTTAGTCTCTCTGTTACTTATTTCCCCATATGTAGGCAACTACCTAAATTATGGTGGAAGTTTGTGATGCAGTGGTGCCTTTAATCTTGGTCTTGTTGCTGCACATGCCCCCTGCCACTGACTGGCC